AGCAGCTGTGAAGAAGAGCTATTTTAAAATAAAGGGGAGCCCCCTTGGGCTTCAGGGGAAGGACTTCTGCCTTGCTCCTCCCAGCAATTTTCCTTTGCTGAAATAGTGCTGGGGGAGGTATTTCCCCATTTTTGCTGGTCCACGTGAAGTATTCTGTGCACATGGAGTAGCAAAAACAGGGCAATAATTTGTCCCCAGCACTATTTCAGTACCGGAAAACAGTTTGGGCGAAGGCAGAAGCCCCTCCCCCCGGGTGGTGTTCTGAGGCCCCCCTCCCCGCAGCAGTGATCCACCTGGCATTCCAATCCTTCCCCAATGGCATCCTGAGGCCAAACCTGGACCCAGCTCTTTAAAATGCCAAATGTCTAGTTTTGCTCTCAGTTTCTTCTTTACCCCTCCCCCACAAATGACATGAATGAAATGAAGCATGGAGCATCTTCATATCCCAAACAAACTAGAAACTGCCTTCTTGTGCAAAATGTGTTGAAGTGGGTAACCAACTGCAATATAATAGAAAGGTATCACACCATCTAGTGCAGGGCTTTGGCACCTTCTTCATACAAAAGCACTAGGCGTTAAGTATTACTGAAATCAAAAGCTCCTGGAATGAATTACAGGAGTTACAGTCCTGCTTGTTCGCCATAAACAAAGAGTGACTGACATCTGAGAAAAAGCAGGAAGTGAAAATGAACAGTTTCAGTATCTGGCTGGTACCAACTTTGTGGACATCTATATGAGCCAATCAATTAAAACCAATACATCATGGAGGACAGGGGAGGGGGGAACTAGGAAGCAAGGTCACCCATAAAATCCCAGGTACAAGCCATGCATTTTGCTTTGTGCAGAACAACTGATGTAAAGCATTTAAAGTATTCCTGATTGTTCCATCGGGATCCTGCTTGCTGAGGAACACGCATGTGTGCTTGTATGTGTTTGTACAGAATATCATGTAGCAAAGCTAAGTAAAAGGAATGATTGGTTTGTTTCCACTTGTTGGTGACCTTTGATGGCCTCCCAGTAAAATGTACAACATTTATGACCATGATAAATTGCTCTTGAGGGAGCCATTTCCTTACCCTCCCTGCTGGCGGTAGAGTTCTGCAGTTAACAGCAGGGTTAAGAAAGATACAGAACAATAGGTGAGTCAAGAAAATGGGGCCCAAACTGAAACAGAGTGGGTGGTATAAGCCCCCCTCCCAAAGTGAATAATGAACTGAAAGATGATTTACTGCAAACCAGAATCAACAATGGCAATCACAGTAGAACCAGCACACAATTGGAGCGGCGGGGGGGGGAGGGGTTATAGCCCAAAGTCTTGTCAACTTCCTCTCTAATAGATTCTCTATCCATGAAGGTGGGGGGGGGCAAATAGACCCGACCCTCTCATAAATGAGAGGTGTTCTTGATCAAACACATTTGCCCCATTAGTGCACCTATCACAACACGATTAAGTTCACTACCACCAAGCCCCCGTTTCATTAGGCTTTTCAATCAACTCCAAGGCCAGGGAGGGGAGAAAGGGAGAGATTCAGAGGGGGAGAAGAGGTCAGTGGGACTTGACTCGCTGGCCCCCACTCAAAGTAACTAGGTGAGAAGATGTGTTGCCACCAGGTGCTGTACACTGCTGCGAGAGCTTTAGGGAAATATGGGTGTGAAGAGCCATAGGAAGCTCTGATGACACCATTTGGGACAGTAGCATCCTGCAAAATTAAATGAGCCTTTCTGAAGTTAGTGTATTTTTCCCTGCTCAGCTATGAGCAGCAATGAAGAAATGAGGACAATCCCTCAAACACAGTGTTCTGCTCAGAAAAACATTAATGACTAGAAAGGCACATGGGCTCAAACGTCTGCTTCCCAGATGAAAGTCCCCATTTGCACAGCAGGAGGAATCTGTGGATAGAGGGATCTTTTGTAGCGACCAGTCTCTAAATCGTTCTGCCCCATTTACCTAGTTTAGGTTACCCTCAATTTGTGAGCAGCCTATGGTGCTGGAGCACATTGATATGTGGCTTATATTTTGAATACGTGAAGCTGCCTTATATTCATCCGATCATGGCTCAGTCAAGGTCAGTATTGTCTCTGTACTGACTGACAGGAGTTCTTCAGGGGTCTTGCACACCACCTACTACCTGATCTCTTTAAATGGAGTTGCCATGGATAGAACCTAGGACCTTCTGCATGCAGGGCAGATGCTCTATCACTGAGCTATGGGCCCTCCTCGCCTTTCCTACTTCACTGGGTCTGAACCATTATACCAGAGAGTGCCAAGGAAATCTTAGCACCAAGGAAATCTTAGCACTGATGTCAGATTCTCAAACTTGCAGCAAAGTAGAGAATCATCAAGAAAGGAGAACTACAGCCCCAACCAATAGTAATCCTCCAACATCCTACACCGTCTTGACTGCGATATACAAGGTATGATGCAATATCAGTCACCTGGTGACATCTCTCCTCTCCAGTTTCTTCCCTAGTTTCCTTCTTTTGAAGGTTTGTGAAGGGACCAATAATACCAGGGTTTATATTGCTCCCCACTTCTCCAAGCAGTTAGAAGTTCCTTGGAACAGAGATATTGAATTTGCTTTTCTTTGGATGAAAGACAGTTAGAGATTTTTGTACCTCGTAATCTCTGCTATATCTAGAAATGTAGAAGTAGACACAGTGGAAGTAACCAAACACTATTTCAGCAGACAACTGAGTAGCTTCCCCCCCATACAGGAGTATCCTCCCAGTTCTAATAACTCTAGCTAAAATGTTTCAATTCTGAGTTTGCCTCAAACTTCAAACTTTTACAAGTTTGTCAGCTATCCGACTCTTTCTACCCAGATGGAGTGGTATCATCTTCTCATTCAAAATACTTAAGATAAACCCTCAGCTATAAGAGGAGAATCTCTTAGCTATTAGCTCACATGGATGAAGCAACAATACCATTACCACATCCTGGACTGTAAATCAGCAATATACCTAACAAAGGCCCCGGCCACACAAGAGGTTTTGGGCCGGGAGAGGGACGGATCGGGGCCGCAGCAAACGGGCACGATCCCACCGCAACATCTGGGAAATGTTGCGTGCCCGTTCCCAATCTGCCCCTTCCGCCCAAACCCCGCAGCAAAAAAGAACCAACTACCGAGGTGGTTCTTTCCGAAAGGCCGTGGCAGACATGCGCAGTTGGGCAGCCTCCCCCTCCCAACTGCCGCTTCCTCCCCAGCATCTGATTGTGCCGGGGAGCAATGGGCCGTGGCCCAGGGGATCTGTGGGATTCCGCCACGGTGTCTCTATTTTGGTGTGGCTTTTAAAAGCTGCACTTTGGCCCGTTTTTTTCCTGCCATGTGGCAGGGACCAAAGGAGCGGATGACCAGCAGCCCAAAATGGTGTCTTTTCTGAACTGTGCAACACAGAGCTCAGAGTTTTGCTAGAATAAGGCCAAGCAGTAGGGTTTCCCTGGGCTGGATTGCACAGTGGATCAGTTCATACCAGAGTCCACAGCATGAAAAGACACAACCATGGGGGGGTGGGGGGGAAAGATCCCTATAAAAAGAGATGGGTAGAGATCCAGTCAAACACTCAGGACAGCAGAAATCTAAACCCCTTAGACCCGAAGGGAGCTAAATAATCCAATTACAGTTTAAAATGTTCTGGAAATCTACTGCTCATTAAAGGTTGCCCGTAATGCCCTGAGACAAAATCCAACTTGGAGAGAATACACAGAGCCGAGGAGTCTCAGTGCCTCATGAAACCAAAGCTGTTAATCTTTCTTTCATAATCTGTCTTCAAGGTGATGTCAAAGCTGTGAAATGGTCTCTTTTATACAACTGACGATTAACTGTTTAAAAAGTTACACGCTGTCTTATGCAATTGTACTGCACCATGCCTAGTTGTCCACCCCCCCCCCCATGCAGACTGAGGGCATTGTTTGAGTGGCAACGACTGCAGAAGAAATAGTTCACCTAACACACAGTTCATTTATGGAACTCACTGCCATAGGATGTGGTGATGGCAACTAGCTTTAAAAGGGGATTTGACAAATTTGTGGAGGATACGGTTCATCAATTACTACTGTTAGCATGATTAATAAATGGCAACCATATAAAAAAATGGACTATGTCTAAATACCAGATGTAGGAGGACCACAACAGGAGGACCTTTTGGCCTCCATGACCTGCTTGAGGGTTTTCTGAGGCATCTGGCTGACTGGCTTTCTTCTGATTGGTTAATAAGGCCACCTAAGTTGTACTCTGTATTGTACACTGTAGGTCTGGGGTCCCCAACCCTTTTGAGCCAGTGGGCACATTTGGAAATGACATGGCATGGTGGGTGCAGCAACAAAATGGCTGCCACAGAACGGCTGCTGGTGGAGGCTTAGCCAGCCACATTGCCACAGCTTAACTTCAGTAACATGATGTAGATCCTAGTGCTCTTGTGGCGGTTGCTGCCAAACCAAAATTTCAAAAAAAATTACACAGCCAATCAAATCTCGAGTAATAAATCAGAAGCCTTGCTGGACAAAAGCCCTAACTGGTCCCACCCACTTCTAGGGTTGCCAGGTCTAGGTTGGAAAATACCTGGAGACTTTGGGGGCGGATCTGGGAGAGGGTGGGGTTTGGGGAGGGGAGGGGCCTCAGCATGGTACAGTGCCATAGAGTCCACCCTTCAAGGCAGCCATTTTATCCAGGAGAGCTGATCTCTGTCAGCAGGAGATGAGTTGTAAAAGCAGGAGATCCCCAGGCCCCACCTGGAGGCTGGCAACCCTACCCACTTCCTTAAAACACTTGGCAGGCACCAGAAAAGATTGTCAGTGGACGCTACATTGGGGACCCCTGTTGTAGACATTTTCACAAACGAGAATTCCTTCAGAATGTGACTATAATGCCTACACTGAATCAACGGTCATCTGATTTCTTTCACGTTAATAACCTTCACACACAGCACAGTGGTCTCAAGTCAGTATTTTATTTGGTCTAAGCCACAACATGTAGAAAACCAAATTACTTTATTGTTATTCTTGTGATAATAAGGAGGATGACAAGAAGATCGAAAAGTCAAATGTGCCTTGAAGTTAACAACACTAAAAGTGGGTTAAACGCAAGCCTCTTGGACTTAATTAGTTTGCGGGGCCACAGCTTGATGAAACTTTACATGAATTATAGGAAAGGAACTCCAGCAGGACCTATTACTTTAGCACCTCTTGTAGTTGGTCATGTGGGCAATTGCTTGAACTGAGTGGGGTAGTTAGTCTGAGTGGTGAATGAAAACTGATCTCATGCATTATGTTTTCATAGCCTGTCTTCTTGAAATTCAAATATATTCCATTTTCTCTTGGTCTGAAGAGGAGCCTTGGAAAGGTCAGACATTTATCACATTCATGATAGAGGCTGGTTCAATAGATCAGGGACGGCCGATTTTCTGTATTTTCAGGTGCCATATTTATTTCCAGAGATTGAAGAATAACCCTGACAACTCTTTTGTTTCATAATAGAACTGGTGATATCCAGTAGTTATCAAATACTATTTGCTGAGGCAGGATGAGGAGTAGACTTCATTTGTGGGGCAAGGGGTGATGAAGAACAGATATGCTTCTTATCCTAGTAGAGGCAAATTGGTAGTAATTATTTGCTGTTCCACAATATGCATAATGCAGTAACATCTATATGCAATACATCTGGAGAAACAGCACTGGCTGTACCCTACTGCTCTCCCTACAGCCTTAGGATCCTTCCTCCAACTAATTGGTAGTAATTATTTGCTGTTCCAAAATATGCATAATCAGGGGTCGTTTCGTAGAAAAAGAGCTAGGGGAACTCATTAGCATAACTCATTAGCATATGCCACACCCCCGACATCACCGGAAGTGTGTCATAAGGCCACACACCCTGACATCACCGGAAGTGTGTCATAAGGCCACGCCCCCTGCCCCCAGCGGTCCCGGCCGCCGCCGCCGCCGGCCTTGCAGCTCCACTGCCGAGCCCCATGTGGGGCCCGGCGGTGGACCTGCAAGGCCAGCGGGAGTGCAAGAAAGCCCCGCCAGAAGCGGGGGGCAGGGCTTCGTCAAGTGCCCCGCCCACCCGCACCTCACCCGGGGGAACTGCGATCCCCCGCGTTCCCCCCCGAAATGACCTCTGCAGCATAATGCAGTAACATCTATATGCAATACATCTGGAGAAACAGCACTGGCTGTACCCTACTGCTCTCCCTACAGCCTGAGGATCCTTCCTCCAACTAAAGTGGCTCTTCCTTCAGAGCCATGTAAGGCTATTTGGGCTGGAGGAGGACTTCAAAAGAATGCCAGCTTTGCAGAAAAATCTGACTTCAGAAAAGTCCATTAGAGGCAGCCCTAAACTGCTGAAGTTCAGGTGACAGCTTGGGTTGTGTAGAAAACAATGGCAGTGGCCAGGAAGCGGAAGAAGAGGAATGGGAGGTGGCGGTGATATTCGGCAAGAGAAAGAGGTCAGCCAGAGCTGGTGGAAGCAGGGGGGAGGAGAGGGGAAGTGGTATAAAAGCCAGCAGAGGAGGAGTTGAGAGCCAGAGCCAAAGGAAGGTAAGATAGAGATGGGGGAGTGGGAGAGGCAAGCTGGAGCTGGTGGGTAGGGGAGCTGGAACCGGAAATGATGGAGCCAGGGAATGTGGACCCAGGTAGAAGGGGGAACTGGGATTCTCCCCAACACACACGGCAAGCCCCTGCAGTATTAGAGAGCCGCTGCAGTGTAGGGGTTAGAGTATCAGACTATGATTTCCAAATCCCCACTCTGCCATGGAAACATGATGGGTTACCCTGGGCCAGCAACTTGCATGGAACTTGATGTACCTCACAGAGTTGATGTGAGGATAAACTGGAGGAGAGGGGAATGATGTAAGCTGCTTTGGTTCCCTATTGGGGAGAAAGGCTAGACATAAATGTAGTAATTAAATTATTTAAGTCATCAAAATCATAATGAGTTGCATCCAGCCAGGCGTCTTCTAATCTCACCCAGTTCTCCTTCTCACTACAGCCCTATCCCTCATGACAGGTCCATTCAGGTCCCATTATCTCCACCATAGCCTTTTTAATGATCCAAGAGGACCCGAAATCTTCCTTTTTTTCAACAATGGAAAAGCTTGTTGGATCCAACCCACTAAAGTGACTAAACATTCCATATTGTTAGAAATATTATATTCAGGGAAGGGATGGTGGAGCCTGTTCAGAGTGTTGAAGCAACTATAAGAATGCTCTGGAATGGCCTGATGCCACACACACCTGCCTAATTGAAGGGAATGCTATGAGAAATTACTGGGAGAAATGTCAATTGGACACAGATGAATTCATACTAAATGAAGTACTTGGAGGTAGCCCTGTGCAAATCTTCAGGATGTATGTGATTTTGTACCTATGTTTCCTTCCAATCCATGGTGCACACACACCAGATCAGCAGACGTCACTGCAGTTAAGGATCTGACAATACGTTTTGGCAATGCAGTATGATTTTTGACATTTTTTACTCTCTCCTTCCCCAGCCAATGACATCGGACTGTGAATATGGTCAAATGGGCTTTCGTTATGAGGACACAGTGGAAAAGCATACCCAATGTACATTTATTTCAGTTTACATATACTGATTGTTCTGCTGATTCATACCTAGATGCCAAAACTTAGACAAACACACCTAAGTGCTTTTCTGGATTGGGGCCTATGAGTCCGCACCCCAAAAGGCTCATTTTACTTTTCCAATCTAAATCAGTGAGAGCTTGCCATGGATTTCAATGGCAGCACATAACGCCAACATTACTTTGGGTTTGTATGTTCCCCTTGGGGAGACACCGAATGCTCACTGTTATAATCCAGTTCCATTAGTTCTTTTTACTGTTGCCTTACTGAAGCTGAAAACTTTGATTCAGACTGTTTTTAGTATAATTTCTTTAGAATGATGTCATCTGCTTTAGTATTCCCCATGAAATTTAATTCAGATGCTTCTATCCAAGTCCTCAGTCAGTTTGTGCCAATGTGCTGTAAGTACCCGGACAGCCAGATCTTCCATTTAACCCACCTCTGGCCATGCTGGGATATATATTTCTTGGCACACAGGAGGGACAGGAGGGTTGGATGAATGACAGCAACAGAGAAATAGCGTAACTTCTTGGCCCCCATTTCTTCCCCTTATTTCATGGATCAGATGCACTCCTACAAAGGGTCTCTCGCTTGCACTGCTAAGCCATCCATGTGGCTAAAGAACTGACCTGCATGGAGTACTTTCCAATGACAGCACTGGAAAAATTCATAAGGGGGGGGGAGCCATAGCTGCCATCTCCGGTTACACTCCACAACACCCAACTGAAGACCACCTGCTTGCCACAGAGATATCCTCCCAATGACTCAGTCATGAGACCACAGCTCCTGGCCTGCTCTGTCCCCTGAGATCCAAACTAGCATTTGTCCCAACCTACAGCCTTGTGAGTGCCACATTTTATTCAAGGTGCTGCAAACAAAAGCAGACTGCAAAGAGTGTCAAGAGGATCTCTCGCAAGGAAGCGAACAGGCCAATGAAGTTCAATCTAAGCAAGTATAAAGTAATGAGTGGAAAAGGCAAACTCTATGTTAGGGATTATTAGAGAAAAAACTGAAAAGAAAATGGTTGGCTTATTTAAATGATGTCTTCATGGATTTTAAGATGAGAAGTTAATTAGTATTTTCAATTTGTTACTGTACTAGAATCTAAGGTCACTCAGTAAAGTTGCTGTACAGTACATTCAGGAAAAACAAAAGGAAACAGTTCTGCTCCCAAAGAGTAATTAACTTATGGAATTCACTGCCAAAACATGCAGCAATCACTATCAGTGCCCATGGTTTTGAAAGCAGACAGGACAGATTGATGAAGGAAAGGTCTATCAGTGGCTATTAGCCAGATAGCCTCATGCTTAGAAGCAGTGTGCTTCTGAACACCAACTGTGAGAACATGACTGTGAGAAAAAAGGATGCTCAGCTAGATGGACTCACATAGCTGTATTTTTCTTATGTTCTTATGCAATGGATCATGCACTTGCCACTATGGGAGCTTCTTCATTCAGTGCATCCATCTTTCTGCGAAGGAATAGAGAGGCCTGTGTCATTAGGGAATGTCAAGAAAACTGGCTGTATGTTTGGGAGACCTCTGACCAAAACAACCTCTTATAGACCCATGGGGTCCCATATTTAGACATGGGCCCAATGCACATATAATGGGAGCAGAACCCACTCTATAGAATGTTCCCAGTCGTGGGGATACTTTGCACTCACATAGCTGCTGTACCCACGTTCAGGTTAATGTTCTTAGGAGGGACGGGGGGCACTGCACTTAGTTGTGAACAGTGGGAGGGACAGCACACCTCACCTCTACATCGATATGTTGTGTATATAGTCCTTGCCTCTTTCTCAACACATGCACATGGTGGGGCCCTGACAGCAGTGGGCTATGGGCAGATGCCCCTTTTGCCCATTGAATAAAGTGGCCTTGCGAAGGATTGATGGATTGAGGTGCACACTAGTTGTGGCTAATGTCGATGTATACCACTCAGGTAGAACACTGAAACTCCATGGTTATGACATACAAGTTTCATTTTGAGGTAAGGACACACCGTGGTAATGTAGTGACTTATGGGAGGTACATATGCTGTACTTAAATAGTGTGAGGAATCAAGAAGGAAGGAAGATGGAAAAAACCTGAGAGAAATTTGGGGTTCTGTATATATCTCATATCCTACTATTTTAGTTATACATTGCACCAGACAAAATCTGGCAAAATGTTCCTTCTGGCTTTTTAGAGCATTTTTTGTCTTTTAAAAAAAAAGTTACACATTTTAGTGACTGAACAACGAAAAAGGAAACCCAAGGGACCTGGTGCTGTTGCGTTCAGGCACAAAACAGCATGTTTTATTAGGCTGTTAATACACACCTTGAGTATCTTAAGGAACAAAGACCTACTTAATAGCCTACTAACACATTTAACTAACGCATGCCTTCAAGTAAGATTACATAAGGACTGTACTTTAAGAGCGCAGGAATAGGATCCAATCAATAAAAATGTCGTTTCATGCATTACAATATGATTACAGCCATTAATTTAAGAATAAAATATCAAAGCCTGAGAAACCCCAGGTACAAAATTCCAGAAATCATTGGTTCCTCATAACTATTTACTATGACACCCCCCTGCACCACCTTGTGCCACTAGCAACACATTAGCAGCATGCCGACAACTAGTTCGTGCAACTGTTACACTACCTGGCACCAGTGTGCAAAACCAAAATCATGTTGTATAGGTTTGGATCTGGCAAATCCAAATTCAAATCCATGCTCGGCTAGGTCGCTATGTGGTCTTGAGCAAGTTAATCTCAACCTAACAGGGTTGTTGGGGGACCAAAATGTCACTCCGTGACTCCGTGCTCTTTGAAGGAGTATTTTTAGCATGGGGGCTGACAGCATAGATTCTGTGCCAGGAAGTCCTGGGTTCAAACTGCAAGGCAGCCACAAATGTATTGCAGTGTCTCTTTATGTTACTGATTGCAGTCCACAGATGGTATTGAGAGAAGAGGACAGTCACTGTCCAGGAGAAGGGGGAGAGGGAGCATTTTCCTTTCTTTCCTCCCCCACCCACCCACCTCTGTTCCAGTGGCAGAGCTATTGCTGGGGACGGAGGTGAAAGTGTATCAGTTGCCTCTGTTTGTACATACCCAGTCTGCAGAGCTGTCTGTAGGTCAAGGCATACCTCTCCATGTCTAAATACTGTGCCATCCCAGGGAACAGAAAAGCAAGCTAACAAAAGCAAGCCAACAAAAGTCCCTCTGTGGAAACAAATCCTTCCCCCAGCCAGTGATCCAGCAAAGTGATTGGGGGAATCGTTTTGGAAAGACAAACCGATGAGCACATTCCTCTTCTGTGCTGCATCTGTTTAAACAATTGTCAATGGGGAAATGTTGCTATCCGCAGGACAGAGGGGGAGGGGTGGAGGGAGGAGGGAGGAGAGAGAGAGAGAGAGAGAGAGAGAGATCCCCTGACCTGGATGGCCCAGGCTAGCCAATCTTGTCAAAGCTTGGAAACTAAGCAGGGCTGGCCCTGATCAGTAGTAATACTTGGCTGGGATTCCACCAAGGAAGTCCGGGGTGACTATGCAAAGAAAGACTATGGCAAACCACCTCTCTTAGTCTCTTGCCTTGAAAACCATATGGAGTCACCAGAACTTGACAGCACTTTACACGTACGCACACACACACACACACGTGCTGAGAACAAACTGTGAGTCCAGACCAATAAAGTTTAATTATGTTGGTTTTAAAGGTGCCACTGGACTCAAACTTTGTTCTGCCGCTTCAGACCAACATGGCTACCAGTGTTCCCTCTAAGCCAAGTTACTGTGAGCTAGCTCACAGTTTTTTAGCCTCCGGCTCACATATTTTTGTCTTAGCTCAGGAAGGATGGCTCCAGAGCAAACTAATTTATGCAGTAACCAAATCGCGTGCTCATAACTTTCATGACAGTAGCTCACAAAGTAGAATTTTTGCTCACAAGACTCCACAGCTTAGCGGGAACATAGTTTGGCTACCCACCTGAATATATATGTTGAGGTATTCTTTCCTCATGGTCTCTCTACCTACCTTTTAACCTTGAGCTCTAAGCCAGCCAGCCAGGTGCCAGAATAACAATGAGCCAAAGAATTCTGAAAGATACTGTCATTAATTTTTCAGCTGGGATCAGTTATAACTGTACTAACAAATAGAAGTTTTCCAGTCAATATTTATATACACATCCCAGCTCTTTCCATGTCTCTAATGAGAAGTAATATCCCAGTGAAATGTTTTGAAAACTGAAAGTGTTAAAAGCATACCAGACAGAGCAATTCTTTCTTGAATACGGTTTTGTGCCACCCTCTTCTGAGGAACTCAAAGCAGCATTTCAGTCTCACAGCAATCTTGCTGTGTAGTACCATAGCCAACAATTTGAACCTAACTTCCTGGCACTCAGGGCAAAACTAGATGTGACACTTTTAAAAGAGCTGGAATGTTGTTTTTAAAATCAGCAGGAGCAGATTCAATTGGAACTGCAACTGTGGAACTATTCCACAGTTCTGAGCTGAATTGGACTCCCACCAATTTTTAAAATGACTTTCCCGACAACTCTTTTAAAAACTGTCACAAATAGTCTGGCTCCCAGTCTCCCTATTGCAGCCTACTGGCCTGCATCTGCAGGGACATGACGTGGTCCAGCAGTTGAGTAGATGCTTTGCATACAGACAGTCCCCGTTTCAGTCCCTGGCCTCTCCAGTTTAAAGGACCAGAGACAGTAGCTGCTAGAAAAGGCCTTTCTATCACTGCAAAGCTGCCACTAGACAGAGTAAGACAATACCAGGCAAGGTGAACCAGGGGTCTGACTCAGTTTCATAATCCGTATGACTGCAGTTTCTGTGTTCTGAAATCATCTTAAGAATCAGCCAACAAAAAAAAATAAACATCTCATTTTTAATACGTGAGCAACCTGCCAGCTTTCTCAGGCAAGGGGAATCAGTGGCTGGAAAAATCTCAATCTGTTAATTTCCTGGAGATGGTGCAGCTGTTCAGAACAGAGAGCCTCTGTCCGTAAAAAGGTGGTCAAGTTGTTTCTTCGGAGCCTGTTTCCCAGTGTTCTAAATGGGACTGACGTGTAATCCAGAACATTTAGGACTGCCTTGCAAATCATTATGTGGTAGGTGCTCACTGACCCTGGCCGACCCAAGTCTCATGCAACGTGGAGGCAGGGTCTAGCCTGCCCAAACTACACCTGAGGCAAGGCAGCAGCCAGCACACCTGAACTCAGCATGAACCAAGAGAGGTGGTGCATGAGCTGCCCAAGCCCTGCACAAGGCAAAGGAGGTGGCACCCAGCTGGGCTGAACGAGGCCTGTGTGAGGCGAGGCGAGGCGAGGCAAGAGATGTGGCACCTTGTTAGTCTACTCCAGGCCTGCACCCAGTCATCTTATCCAAAGCCCACCTGGGGAAGGGAGGCAGTCCCCAGGCCAACTTAGGCTTGCCAACTCAAGGTGGCAATTGGCCCATGAGTTGGACAGGCTGCCTCCTCCCTCCCTCCCTCCCTCCCTCCCTTGGGGGACAGAGCAGACTGATGGAGAGACCCTCTCCCAGCGTTTTTCACTCCCAGCTCACCTTGCTCAGAGGGTTGTTCTGAGGATAAAATGGAGGAAAGGGAAATTATGTAACCTTTAAGTCCACCATTGTGGAGAAAGGTGAGGTATAAATGAAGAAAATAAACAGAGCTGAAGATGGTGAGCAGATAAAAGGTAGGTTAATTGGAGGACGGGAAAGAGAGGAGGAAGCAAGGAAAAGTAAGAATATGTGGGTTGCCTGGTGGAAGGAAAGAGGCAATAATGTGGTGAAAGTGATACAGGGGAAACGAGATAACCCCTCCCACGTCCTTGAGGGTTCACCACTGTGCAACTGGCCCAAGCCTTGCAACCCACACCGTGCAACTGGGCTATGGTTTTCCTAAGAAGAGGCTGCTGGGGGTATGGGAAGGGGGGAAGGGAAAGGGGAGAGACTGAAGATGGGGGGAGGAGAGAAGGGGGAAGGAAAAAGAAAGAGGCTATGGGGCCTTTAAGGAAATAGAGGAGTTAATAGTGGGGAGGGGAAAATGGAATGTTAATATAGCTAACTAGGAAAAAGGCCCGTTGTGGAAATAAATACAATGACCTCTAGAAAGAGGCTCTGGGCAGATGCCCCGGCCTTGGACACTCAGTGTCAATTTGCTGTGGCAACCTCAGCAGGGTATAATGACACTGAGTCCACCATTTTCTCCAGAGGAACTGATCTCTGCTACCTAAAGAACAGTTGTAATTTTGAGTGATCTCCAGCCCTCACCTGGAGATTGGCAGAAGGGAATGTTTAGTTTGGAGGGTGGAGTCTATGGCTTTGTACCTGTCCGAGGTCCCACGCCTCCTGAAACCTCACCCTCTCTAGGATCCATCCCTCACATCTCCAGGAATTTCCTGGCAACCCTATCTCCTTCCCAGCCAATCATCAACCTACCTTTATTTCCCCCTCACTCTTCAGCTTTCCACCCCCCCACACACCTGCAGCCTCTCCGTGCTCTGAAGCCCTGACTGCTACGCCACATTGGCTGTCATACGGTGGCCACCTCAGCAGCATATAAGGATACAGAGCCCACCATTTTCTCCAGGGGAACTGATCTCTGCCATCTGGAAAGCAGTTGTAATTCTGAGTGATCTCCAGCCCTCACCTGGAGATTGGACACATTTTACCTCAGAACAGCAAAACTGTTTAGAGCGTGTGAAATGTTCTAGAGAAGTGCCACCACCATTCGGCTTTTATATATAAGGGAGATTATCAAGATGGCCCCATCTGTGAATACTTAAATCTAGCATCTGAGGCCATGGATAGACAAGACAGATCTTTCCACAAGCCTAAGAGAAGCCCCAGGTTTGCAGAAAAATCTGAAATGTTAAGAACTGGGGTTTTACAATCCCCTCAGAGCCTCTTGCTAAGGATAAACAAGGAAAGCGCAAAGGTTGGCTTGAAACTCAACATCAAAAAAACTAAGATCATGGCATCCGGCCCCATCACTCCTTGGCAAACAGAAGGAGAAGTCGTGGAAGCAGTGATAGACTTCATTTTTCCTGGGATCCCAGATCACTGCAGATGGTGACTGCAGCCATGAAATTAAAAGACGCCTGCTCCTTGGGAGGAAAGCGATGGCAAACCTTGACAGCATAATAAAAAGTAGATACATCACTCTGCCAACAAAAGTCCATATGGTCAAAGCAATGGTAGTCCCAGTAGTACTGTATGGCTGCAAAAGCTGGACTATAATGAAGGCTGAGCGCCAAAGAATAGATGCATTTGAATTATGGTGCTGGAGAAGACTCTTGAGAGTCCCCTGGACTGCAAGGAGATCAAATCAGTAAATCCTAAAAGAAATCAACCCTGTGTTCTCTGGAAGGCCAGATACTGAAGCTGAAGCTCAAACACTTTGGCCACCAAATGAGAAGGGAGCACTCACTGGAGAAGTCCCTGATGCTGGGAAAGATTGAAGGTCAAAGAAGAAGGGGACAGCAAAGGATGAGATGGGTAGACAGTGTTATCGAGGCAACAAACATGAAATTAAGCAAACTCCGGAGCATGATGGAAGACAGAAGGGCCTGGTGTGATGTGGTCCATGGGGTTGGGAAAAGTTGGACTTGACTGTGCGACTGAACAACAACAACAGATGATAAAAGGAATGCTGTAGCTTTAAGAAACAGATACCTCAGTGGCTGTTGCTAGGCAATCACAACATTATTGCAAACCTTCCTTTCTGTCTGTAAAAGGCATGGGGAGGAGGGCTTGGCCTTTGAGGGAGACACATGGGGCCAGGTAGAGGCCGCCAGTGGGTGGGAAGGAGGGAAAGCTGAAGATGAGGGGTAGATACAGGTAGGGTGGCTGGTGGATGGGAAGGAGAGAAGGAAGCAGGAAAAGGGGAGAGGCTTTGGGGGCTTTCAGGGAGGGGAAAGAGGAAGTAGTGGAGGAATAGAAAATGAGATGTTGATGCAAATCCTTGTGGGTCCCCTGCTTGTGTGTGTATGTCTATATATGTGCTTGTGTGTCTATTCCCTTTTAAGGATTAATATGTCACAATATTAAACAATTGTAGACCAACCCTAAATCAAAGGTGGGATAATTTTCATCCTATGTGGTCCATTGGAAGAAGAAATCCTGTAGTGCACCAGCAGGTTGAGTAATTCTGAATATACACCCTA